TAAGATTAAATAATGCATCTCGTGTTATGACTGTGATAACAGCGATCACATGGAAGTTGTGTTTGCAGGGGAATGGTCATTGTAGTTGTTCATAACCCATCCTCTAAATCAAAGCCCACGATCTGACTACCAGTGAGCCGGATGTGCTCGAAGATACACAGTAATCTGCAAGAAAAGGCGTTGCCTCCACAAATTTAGGCGCCCTGCAGGTTCCTCACAGCGGACCTGACTGTGTAAATTAGCAAGCGGATTATGTATGGAAAATGGCTTCATCGGAGTCGCTGCTCCTTCTCGTTTCTGTTTGAATTAGACACAATGGAAGAACATCGTCAATAGTCGTTTAGCGGATTCGGATGACCCATTACTTGGAGTGTTATCCAGACTCAAGAAATGCACCCGTTCCTATGTGACGAAATTATTTGGAGGGAGAGGGGTGATTGGTTCTGCTGGTAACAGTTTTGCAGTGACTAGTAGGAAGATTAAACAGCTGCGTTGAGGTGTGCTGGTTAAGCCGCGGTTATAGGATACGGTAGTGTGAGCCGTGATTTCAGTGGACTCCGTAAAAACACAACCAGACCAGAACCGCGCTGCTCGTTCGTCTGGTGGTAAGCCTATTTTCCCCAAATTGTTGGGGGGCAGCGAGCTTGTTTCTGCTAGTAACGTTCTTGTAGTAATTGTTAACTGGATGAAGCTATTACGGTGAGGTGGTTACAGAATACAGAATTCTGAACCCTGCTGTCAGTGGTTTGGATTATTACCGTCAGTACTTCCTACGATCGCTGCTCCTATCAAGCTAAAAACCTGTTACAATTTAATGAAATACTCGGCCGTCTAGTGAAAGAAAACGCTTTTTTTTCAAGTAAACATGTGGACAAGCAGTTAATACCAGAAAGTGTGCCTTACCACAGTAGGCGCAGCTTCAATCTACTCGTTGATTTGACCATTGAAGAATATAATCAATTGGCAAATGGTGGACATTTGGGCTCCCCGGTTTCCTGTTGCAAAGATGATGTCAACAGAGACAGCACTTATATTTTTTTCTCAGGTTTCGGCTTCGTAAGAAAGGCCATATTTAGGGATATCGAGAGTGCAATGAGAATTTACGTGTTTTTTTCATTCCAGCTACGAACAAAATGTGGGGGCTGCGGGTTGGTATTTGTGATAGATTGAGTCCACGCCCACGTCCTTTCATGTCGTCGTCACGGGGACGTCATTGGCTCGGAACTGGACCGCGCTTCCTGGTCGAGCGAACGAAGGGCGTGATAACCGGGGGCCGTATCAACATGGATTTGGAGTTTGACACCCTGACCTCCAGTAGTTCTCGCCCTACTTTATTAGCGGTGCGTGCCATTATCCGCGTGCCCATAGAGTCCAAATTGTGGCCT